TACAATTTCTACGTGCGAATTAATATTTGTCGTCTATAACTAAAGAAGCGCTCTACTGGCTCTACACACTCTGATGATAGCAATGAATATTTTATATTAAAAAATTTTTATTTAATGTGAACAAATATTTATTTGATGGATACAGAATGAGAGAAGGATATCTATTTCCTTACATTTATTTTCTAAATATGAAAGTACTTCAATATATGTTTAAATGACGTATCGAATTAATATCAGTTTTCGTCTATGGAACGAAAAAGATCCTCGTCACTACTACTACTATATATTACTGGAAGTTAACATTTTATAATACTTTTGTACAATCTTATATTTCCGGAAATACAACATTTCTTTTATCTAAGATAAGATCTATATTCTTAATAATCTAGACGAAGATTACATATGATAAAGCCATTTCTTCATCTAGATGATTTTAATTTAGATAACGATAAACACTGCTTAAGTGAAAGTTGTTGTCGCATGAAATTGCTTTCTTTTCCCGAAAACCTAAAGCAGATTGTGTTAGAATCTTGAAAATGTCATGACACTGGAGCCTTCCACGGGCAAAGCAAGGACGAGACTAAAAATGTCACCACTTAGTGTGTGTGTGTGTGTGTGTGTGTGTATACCCTATACACTGTAAAAAATAAATTTTAATTTTAACTCAAAATCGTTGAGTGGATTTTCTGAGACATGCAAAAATGTTAAAATTAACATTTTTGTGTTAATGTTAACATTTTTGCATGTCTCAGAAAATCCACTCAACGTCTTTGAGTTAAAATTAACATTTTATTTTTTACAGTGTATATATGTATACTGAGAAAAATATCCAGGCTTTTTCCGATCATTAATGATCGGATTGTCCGTTCAAAAATTAACAAACGATTATTTCCGATTATCTTGATCGGACAAAATCCGATCACATTATATCCGATCAAATATTTGATCGGATCTTTTATCCGATCAAGATGAACGGAAATAACCGTTCGTTAATTTTTGAACGGACAATCCGATCATTAATGATCGGAAAAAGCCTGGATATTTTTCTCAGTGCTGAGTTATCAGCATGAAGTAAGAGTAAGGAGACGTAACTAGATAGGATATGGAGAAAAAAGTTGGTCACGAAAAATGTTCCGTGTACTGCCATGTCCGCCGAACGGAATAACTTGCAACATTTCATCGCCATATTGAATATTTATATGTGTACAGTATCCTTGCGACTGTGTACACGTATGTGTACACATATACATAATACATATATATATCGAATCGGGATGACAGATATGTTAACCTGTAAAGTCTCGAACTTTAACGCTTAATAACTCGGTTCACAAGGCCGATCATCGCATTTTTCTTATAGATTCTTTCGTTCTGAGCGAAAACGCGACGAATGAGTATAATTTTATACGTTTAAGACACGTATTTGTCTTCTAAAAGGTAGAGTATAACTTGCTGTCCTAAAATCTTAATAAAATTATAATCATTCGTCGCGTTTTCACTCAGAACGAAAGAATCTATAAGAAAAATGCGGGGATCGGCCTTGTGAACCTAGTTATTAAGCGTTAAAGTTCGAGACTTTACAGGTTAAGATATTTGTCATCCGATTCGATATATATTATGTATATGTGTACACATACGTGTACACAGTCGCAAGGATACTGTACACATATAAATATTCAATATGGCGATGAAATGTTGCAAGTTATTCCGTTCGGCGGACATGGCAGTACCACAGTATAGGTAAGTACAGTAGTTTCACTCTCCAAAATTTATGGGTAAAAGTTGTCCTAACGTATGCGCGAATCACGCAATCTTCATCATGGCGTCGATGTCACGTGTGGATACTGTGTCAACATGTAGTGTCGATGTGTGCAGTGAATAATCGGTAATAATTTTATATTTTTCTCATTTTCTGTTTTAACAGAATTAATAAACAATAGAGGATGATAACAAGGGTAAATCTGAGAGTCAACGCAACTTAAAATTTAAATTATCAAGTATAATAAAACTTCTGAATATAATTAAAAATTTTTGTATGCATACATTACATATATGTAATGTATGCATACAAAAATTTTTAATTATTTTCAGAAGTTTTAATATACTTGATAATTTAAATTTTAAGTTGCGTTGACTCTCAGATTTGCCCTTGTTATCATCCTCTATTGTTTTAACATCGAGAGATTTGTTTATATTCTAGAATTAATAAACATGATAAATTATTAAATCTTTTTTATTAGCAAATTAAATTGTTGGTAATATTTCGCGTTGACATACTATGAAATGTGTCCAAAAAATAACCTATAAATATATAATTCTGACTGTTATCTATTTATTAATTTGTTAGGTTCAATTAACATTTTTAACTATTTTTACAGCGATTTCTAAACATATTTTGATTGTATTTAAAAAAACGTTTATTTCCAATTTGTACTATACAGAATATAATTTTTATAATTTTATCTATTTTACAATAGTAATACATTAATAAAAATATTTAATATTAATAATAATGTAATATTATTAATATAACAATTATAATTAATAATACTATATTAATACGAAGATAATTAATATTTAATAATGTTATAATATTGTTAAAATATTATTATATAATAAATAGTATAATTGTTATATCCGTTCGTTCATTGGCCGATTGAATTACCCTACAATTTTAATTTTGGCTGTGTGGCAACACGGACAGAGAGGCAACGAGCGAGTCGTACACGCGGACTTCCCGCTTTTATATACTCATACGATTGTTCTTGTAATAGACAGCGATTGGATTTATAATATATATATATATCGTGATTGGAATAAGGAATCTGCGAGTCAGTTTATTTACTTACAATCCTCCTTCAAGTTACAACAATTGGCGACGAGGTGAAAAATTCAACTGATCTCGATTCAACTAACCTCTCTCTGCAGCGTGCCTCCCAACTATTCCATCACGTAAATATTCAATTTCGGATTCGATTAACAATAAAATGGACGCAAAACAATTCCAAGAACTCATGAAGGTTCTGACTACGTGTCTGGAACGCCAAACGATACAACAGGTAACGCAACCGTCACTCGTCAGTAAATTCGAACAATAACCTAGTATCATGGTATAATTAACAAGGTATAGCCAAGCGCAGGGTGATGAGTGGGGATACATCGTCAACCAATCCCAATGTAGCGACGATATGTAGCGCGAATTCAAACTCGGTTTCAGCAGCGATAAATTTTAACGTAGTATTCATTATTCTACAATGTAACATAACAGTGCAAAAATCTAATAATAATAAATTGCACCAAAATAATGAGATAAATATGTTTTTAAGTTGATGTAAGTATGTTTATGAGCAACATTGAGCGAAATCAGTAAAATGTAGTTTCCAGTCAATTGCAATTAAAAGTAAATAGAATAGATTGAATTGAAGTAACAATTTTGTAGTGATTCCGTTTACAAAATAACATCTTTTATTGTAGTACATTGAGGCATGAGACAATTAATTTTGTCCAAAAAATAAATTAACTTTTTATATACATTATACGGATGATAATAAAAAAACTTATTACTACTTGTAATGGAGTGAAATATGTTGAATACAATTTTATTTATTATTTATTTCTTATTGTCAGCAACAGCTGCACTGTTATGATTATGAAAACTCGATACTACTTGTACGGTTGTAGGAGGTGTTAAAACAAATATCAAGAATTAAAAAGAGATATTAAATAAACTTAGTTCCATAGTTAATAGTAAGTTGGTAAAAACGTAATGATTTTATTAAATAGTCTTATTACAGATATGTTTCATTTTTTTTTCTTTTTTTTTTGAAAATTTTATGGTGTTTAATGTTTTAATCTTTTTGTTCATGTTCCGAAGCCTTATATAGGTTCGTGTTCTAACTAAACATGCCACAACTTTTGTTGGATATAAATACGAAAGAAAAGAAAAATACAAAAAGAAAAGATAAATACGAAATGAATTAATTACAATGTTGACGAAATGACACAATCCGGTAAATAATCTTTTACATTTTTCAAACTTCGCTGCAGCGTAGGTCTGATCGTCGCTACCTTCTGATTGGTCGATACTTTTCGTCTACTGCGCATCTTCTGATGGCTATACCTTGTTAATTATACCATGCCTAGTATCACATTTTGGAAGCTTTGATCCAGATAAAGAAAGTTTCGAGCATTACAAGCAGCGTCTAGAAAACTTCCTTAGATTGAAGAATATATTCGATGACAAAAATCTCTGCGCGAAAGTTTTGTTGAATTGCATTGGTTCAAAATATTATGAATTATTGACATCACTGACTGCACCAAACTTGCCAACAGAGAGAACGTACGAACAATTAATGGAACTACTAGAAACTTACCTATGTCCAAAACCAAATGTAGTGGTACAGCAACATCGGTTTCTCTCATGCGTACAAAAGCCAGAAAACAATATAGCAGCATATGTCGCTGAATTAAGAAAATTTATCATTACTTGTGGATTCAATTGCGAATGTGGAAGATCTGTTGCAGATTTATTTCTACGTGCTCAATTTATTCGAGGACTTCGTGACACAACGATTCGAGAAAAACTTCTACAGACAACCGACTTGACATTCAAAAAGGCAGTGGATACCGCTCTTGCTCTAGAAGCATCAAAACTGGACAACCATGAAATATCAGGAACACCAGCAGGGAAGAAGTCTTCAATTGAAAATGTGAATCGCATTTCAAAGTCCCGAGATAAATCAAGTAAGCGAGCTAGCCGATCAAATAACCGGAACAACCCTGGTAAAAGTCGCTCAAATAGTCAAGCACGGTCTAAAAGCAGAATCAATTATCGCGCCCTAGGATTAGAAAATGTATGCATTCGTTGTGGTCGTAACAACCACAAAACACAAGATTGTCGCATCAACTTCAATAACTTAAAATGTCACGCTTGTGATAAAACAGGTCACGTAAAAAAGGTCTGCATTTCGACATTAATGAAATCAAAAAATAGCGATACACTTACGCTTGAGACGAACACTCAGGAAGATAACAAGAAGCTCAACGATACTAACAGCATTCAAGATTTCTACGGAATCAACGAGGTAATAGTTGATATTTATGAAAAATCGTCTGTGGAAGCAAAGAACACAAAGAAGTTCTACGCAGACATAAATATCGAAGGGAAAGCACAAAGATTTGAAGTAGACTCAGGAGCAGGATTTACTCTTTTGCCAAAGAGCCATTACGATACTTTAAATTTGTCAACACCGATGCATTCAACAAAAATTCGTTTTCGTTCATATACAGGAGAAATCTTTCAACCATTAGGAGTTACAGAGGTCCCAATTGAATATAAAGCATCAAAAGCAAAAACAAAAGAAATTATGTTTATTGTCGAAAGCGGCACTCCACTACTTGGCAGAACGTGGATCCGGCATTTAAGAATTAATTTACTCGATCTAGATAAAACTCACATTCCAGAATCTATGTGTTCAGAATCGATTAATTGCCTAAATACACATAAAGATGACGTAATCAAAATCCTGCAACAATTCAATGATATTTTCGAACCGGAAGTAGGATGCATCCCAAATTTCACCTGCTCATTGAAACTACGGGAAGAAGCAAAACCCGTGTTCTTAAAAGCTCGTGATGTTCCATTTGCACTCCGAGATAAAGTCGACACAGAATTAGATACATTAGAAGCTCAAGGCATTATTTCAAAAATTGATTGCGTCGACTGGGGATCACCTTTAGTAGTTATTCCGAAGCCAGATGGTTCTGTTCGGTTATGTGTTGATTATAAAATTGCAGTAAACCCCCAGCTAAAAGGAGCTCATTATCCGATTCCAAGAATTGACGAAATTCTAAACAGTCTTAGAAATGCAAAGTTTTTCTGCACACTTGACTTGTTCAAAGCATACTTGCATGTTGCAGTGGATGAAGAAAGCAAGATTATTCAAACCATATCAACCCACCGAGGTACCTATAAAATGAATCGGCTGTCTTTTGGAATCAAAACAGCCCCCAGCGAATTCCATAGAATCTTAGATCAAATTCTAAGTGATCTCGACGGGATAACCACTTATTTCGACGACATCGTAGTGAGTGGCTCAACATACATAGAATGTAAACAGCGATTAATTGCTTGCCTGGAAAGACTGAAGAAATATAATTTACATTTGAATCAAAAGAAATGTCGATTTTTCGAAAAGAAGATTTCTTATCTAGGATACATAATAGAAGAAAACACAATTTCGAAGTGCCCAAACAAAGTAAAAGCAATTCTAGAAGCACCGAAACCTAAGAATACTGAAGATGTAAAAATATTTTTGGGATTAATTACGTACTATTCCAGGTTTATCCCAAATGTGTCCACAATTACATACCCGATTCGACAACTATTACAGAAGGAAAAGAATTTCTCTTGGTCATCCAGCTGTGAGGCAGCATTTATTAAATTAAAAGAAGAAATTGCCAGTGACCGGGTATTAATGCCGTATAATCCTTCTCTCCCAGTCACAGTAGCATGTGACGCGAGCCCAACAGGAATCGCGGGAGTACTGTCACACATTGTAGAAGGCATAGAAAAACCAGTAGCTTTTGTATCTCGTTCCCTTACGAGAGCCGAACAAAATTACAGCCAGTTGGACAGGGAAGCCCTCGCCATTATATTTGCAATCCAGAAATTCTATCGGTACGTATACGGACAACCGTTTACACTAATATCGGACAATCGTCCTCTAACCAGAATCTTCCAGCATAATACAAAACTGCCTGCGATCACTTCCGCACGATTACTGCGATATGCAACATTTCTAAGCAATTTCAATTATAAAGTAGAGCATCGTAAAGCTGAGGACCATGGTAACGTCGATTATTTGTCGCGCGCATCATTAGAAATCAAGTCAACCGCACAGGATGAAGATGAAGAAATCAACGACCAGATAATCAATCAAATATCCACTACAGTTATCACTAGCAAAACCATCGCAGAAGAAACCATAAAAGACGAAGAATTATCACAGCTAAAAGAAAACTTAGCATCTGGAGAAACATATGATCCAATTTACAGCCTGCATAATGGTATTATCTTCCGAGGTCATCGAATCTTCATTCCCACTTCATTACGTCCAGAGATCTTGAAAGAGCTGCACTATACTCACCTTGGCATTTCAAAAATGAAGAAGTTAGCTAGGCGATATTGCTACTGGCGGAACATCGATAAAGATATCGAAGGGATAGTACGTTCATGTCTAGAATGTACGAAAGGACAAAATAATCCTCGAAAGGCTCCACTCCACCATTGGGAAGAGCCCGAGTCCAACTTCCAGCGTGTTCACATAGATTACGCCGGACCATTTCAAGGTCATCAGTTCCTTGTTCTTGTTGACGCCAAATCTAAATGGCCGGAAGTTAGAATCACAAAAGGAACCCCAACGTCTGTTTCAACTATCCGTTTTCTAGAAAATATTTTTAGCTCACATGGAACACCTGAAGTCTTGGTATCCGACAACGCGACAATATTCAAAAGTGAGGAATTTACACAATTCTGTCAAAGAAATGGCATCTTTCAAAAATTCATTGCCCCAGGACATCCAGCAACTAACGGGTTAGCAGAAAGGTACGTTCAAATTCTCAAGAAGAAGTTGAAAGCAATGGAATCCGATCCAAGTACAATGACTTCAAAAGTAGAAAACATTCTATATCGTTTCCGAGCCACACCATTACACTGTGGTAAAAGTCCATCGGAGATTTATCTAAACAGGCAAATTCGAACAAGTCTAGATTTATTACGCCCTCCGAGCATAAGGTCGACGTCCACTCAAGAATGTCATGTAAGTCAATTAAGCGTGGGAGACAGAGTACAGTCTCGAGCATACAGTGGAACTCAACGATGGAAACTTGGCGTAGTCACGAAAAAGTTAGGTCGACTACATTATTTGATACATTTAGACGAAGGATATCTCATCAAGAGACACATTAATCAGCTACGTCAGAGTGAAGTCCCTAAGGAAAAACCTGAAAGGAAATCAGTCCATTTTGGTCCAGTAACCAGGAACTGGTACCCATTACTAGACAACATACCAGAGCCCCAACCAAGAACTGAAGAGCAGCCCCTCCAGGTACAAGCCCCAGAGAAGGACCCTGTTCCGGCAGCGCAAAATATTCAGACACCAATCGGAGAAAGTGCCATAAGGGAAAGCCAGAACCAAGATCCACCACTTCGCAGATCTGAGAGGATCCGTAAACCTCCGACATATTTAGACAGTTTTGTTCCCAAATGAGGAAACTATTATCTTTCTTTTTTTTCTGTCTTTTATTTTTCCAGATATGTCTAAGCAGTTACCTTCTTTCTAATAAGCGTGGGAGACTGTTATATCCGTTCGTTCATTGGCCGATTGAATTACCCTACAATTTTAATTTTGGCTGTGTGGCAACACGGACAGAGAGGCAACGAGCGAGTCGTACACGCGGACTTCCCGCTTTTATATACTCATACGATTGTTCTTGTAATAGACAGCGATTGGATTTAATATATATATATATCGTGATTGGAATAAGGAATCTGCGAGTCAGTTTATTTACTTACAATCCTCCTTCAAGTTACAACAATAATAAAAATATATCAATATTTCTATATATTTTTTATAAATAATTTTATATATACACATTTTTTGTAATATTTTACAAATAATAAAAAAAACATTTACGTAGATATAATCATATATGATTTAATATATAAGGTTATATTTCATTACCTAAAACATCTAAAATGCTAAAAATCTATAATGCACGTAATGTATACTATAAATTTTTAGTATCAGCAGTAATATATTTGGTATATTTATTACTATATATTTAGTATTGATATTCGAACAAAGCGCCGCTCGCAAGCAACAACATGGCTGACTGTAGGACACATAGATCAAAGGTACCGACACAGAGTGAAACTACTGTACTTACCTATACTATACTGTGGCAGTACACGGAACATTTTTCGTGACCACCTTCTGTCTATACAGTTACGTCTCCTTACTCTTACTTCATGGTTATCAGGTTCCAAAGTAGTCTCTATTTTTTCGCAACATTTTAGTTAAATATCGCATTGCGTTATCCGATGTGCACCACGAGGATTTTGCACATAATGTGTGTGTGTGTGTGTGTGTTTCAGCAGAAATGAGGACATTACATTTTGCTACTCCCGTGTTATTTAATGACAACAAATCCGCTTGCGTGCGTTCTCACACAATGATGTGCATACTCCGATCGAGGAACATCCTCGTGGTGCACATCGAATAACGCGAATGCTCGCAGTATTTATTCCAAATCTTGAAGAAAAGTAAGGTCCACTCTGGAACCTGATATCTCACTTCAAGTCGGGGTAAAATTTTTTCACATGAATTGTTTTCGATTTAATACAAACATTTTTATTAAATATAATCAAAGCACACTTTTTTTAGTTTTACAGCGCAGCTTTGGCCTTCCTGATGGTTTTAATGCAGGTACACGATCCAAATCTTCTATATCTAATACATGACATAAATGCTTTGATTATAAATTAATATCAATATATATAATTAAATGCATTTTCATTAACCCTTCGTGCTCACTCTTTAAAAAATTACAGTCTACAATTTGATTTGGTTAAAAATGAAATTATAGCGTTGTAGGCAAAAATTTAATTTTAACATTAAAAAAATTGTAAACTCAATTACTTCGTAAAATACGTTATTTAAAAAAATATAACTTTTGAATTTATAAAATTTTTTAATTTGAAGTTTGGTTCAGCCTAATACTCCTAAATTTGCATTATTCTCTGTTCATTTTGATCCATAGTGACCATAAAGGGTTAAACTATATAGAATTTCTACTTGATATATAACGATTTTGAAATTTTACAATTAAAACGTTTGCTTCTAAAAAATATTTTATTATATGTATATTAGAACGTATATATAATAAATTAAATATACGTTATATGCAGGGTGTCCCATTTTAAAACTTACACGCGATTATTTCAGAAAGAAGGCGTTTATCGAAAAAATGTTTCAGACAAAAGTTGTTTGACTCGAAGGGTGACATAAGATGGTGCCATCGATTTGACCTTGGATAGTCCTCTGAAGGTTACGTGAAGGTCACCTTTAATTTTTTACAGCGCAACTACTTACTTTTACACGGAACTACTTACGTGGTATATAATATTCACACTCTAACATATCTTATATATGATCGCACCAATAACCGCTGAATAGCTCTCATTAGCCTGATTATTCTTGTTATTTGAAATTCTCGAGAGTCTTCTTTAATTTATTTGTTGAATATACGCTGGCTGAAAGATGCGTTTGTTACTTTCAAATTATTATTTAAAATTAAGTACTTTGTGAAGAATATCATTACGTCGACTTGCCAATAGAGGTCTATAGTTAATCTTGTCAATTCTCGCAAGTGCTGAATTACATGATTATTTGTTTATATAGAACTTCTTTCTAACATCTCTCCCAGGCGTCTAAGGTAGGCTCCCACTAC